TATCCTTTGCTTTATACCGTTATTATAATTATATCACCGACCAGGCTCAGGATGTACTGGCACGCTACATCTAGCGTAATCTAGCCGTAATCCCTTAAAGCCAATAGCCTCGCGTGGCTATACGCAAGGTGATTCTATTTCTAGAAGTGTCTATTTCTTTTGGATAGGATAACCCTGGTTACCTGATGTAATATGGAAGTATAAAAGCACCTTGTACTGATTCATAGTGGAACATTGAGCAAACCTTTCCTCGGGACATTCGATCCTGTGACACCCACCAACCTTTTCGGTAGCACCACAATCCAAGCGCACCTGCATCTGCACCGATGGAGAAAGTCTACAGCGACATCTTAAATATGCCTCGAGATGACAGTAAAGCAAAGTGCAACTATGTCATCACGTTCATCGACGCAGCAACACGATATGTCTGGCACTATAACCTCAAGACACGAGATCAAGCGTTCGAAGCCTTCACGACGTGGCTCCCCATCGCTGAACGAGAATCGGGCTCGCAAATCAAGAGTTTCCAGTCAGACGGGGCACTGGAGTACCAGTCACAACGATTCAGGAACTACTTGGCAGAAAGAGGCATCAGACGCCTCGTGTCTGTGCCCTACGTTCACCAGCAGTAGGGGGTCGCAGAGAGGATGAACAGAACCTTGCAGATGACGATGCGGAAGCTGCTCCTGGGGATGGGACTGCCCAACACGCTTTGGCCTGACGCGATGACGCATGCAGTCCACCTGCACAATTTGCTGTCCTCGACGTCACTTCCCAACAACGCATCACCGCACCTGCTGTGGACAGGAAAACAGGGCAGCACAAAATTACTTCGAGTCTTCAGCTGCATGGTACAGTACAGACCCCACACAGCCCGAGCAGGACGATTCTCTCAACGAGCACGGTGGGGACTACACCTCGGCATCGCAAAACATTTCCAGGCATGGAAACTTCTCGACATTCAGGACAAAAGCAACGTGGCCTTACGTGATGTGATTTTCTACGAGCGACTGACACTGCAGCATTACCTGGACAACATCGCCAACACAGAAGACCCCACCGACGGCTTTGAGGGCCATCGGTCCTTCGCCGACCGTGCTGCCGAAGCTGACGCAGCAGAAGAAGACATACCTGAAGCCTCGGAAGCTGCCGGACCACTACCATACTGCTCCGTGCCTGTTCCACTCGACGATGACAATCCTCTCGATAGTAACAACCTCGACACTTATTACCACATCGCTGACCAAGGTTACACTACACCTCAACCAGTCGACACAAATATCTCCAAACGCATCGGACCCAATTTCTTACCTGACCCCGAGGACGGTGACGAAGCATCTTATCCCGAGAATGACAATTCCCGCCGACACACACCCACGGGCCTGCAGATACTTGGACTATGGGTCGCCGTCCAGAGCCCGCCGCCGCCTTCACCGTGTGAGCAAACAACTCTGTCGCAGGCTCTGGGGGGGGAACACAAGGCGAAATGGAAGGAAGCAATGGAAAAGGAACTGAAGGCCCTGCAAGACCGAAATACGTGGAAGCTGGTACCTGCAACAAAAACCAACGGGAAGAATGTGCTCTCGGGGAAATGGGTGTGCCGCAAAGTTCTATTACTGCATGTTGCTGACCTGACAGATAAACGTCACCGAATCCGGACACGTCAGCACTCCAGAAACGAAGGGGAGTGTTGGAAATACCTCGAAGACTTAAGCGTTTCTAAAGTATAACACTACACTCGAAATGTCGTATCGAGTACACGAGTCAACGGAGGTTACACGAGGAGGTTGGACGAAAGAACACGAAAGGACGAAGGGACTCGAAGGGTTGCAACCGGAGGTTGCGACCGACCGTTGCGACTGCAATGATGGTAACCGAACCAACGATCGAGTCGCTGTGCGACTCGATAACCGTTTCTTCAACTGTATTCTACAAACTTCTCTATAGTGGCGGAAAGTATTGTCCGCATGTTTTGCACTTTTTTGAATTTAGGCCAATTAAGGGCATGTGTACATTAAGCCTTAATTGGAGGCCTTACCCACTATATGCAGACCAGTCTAAGGATACAAGACAATGCACTACATTTGATGAAACTACTATTGTTAATAGAGAGAAGCATACATAACCAATCTCGGTACATCCAGACAATTATGGCCAGGCACAAGCAGCAACTTTCTCAATCCTAAAACTAGTACCTGGTCCATCGCCCTTTCGCCTTAATCACCGCCTTCACCCTCCTGGGCATGCTCTCGATCAAGTTGGTGCACACCTCTGATGGGATCTTCTCCCATTCATCCTGTACACGCTCCCACAGGTCCATCATACCTGTGGGGGGCTTCTCGTGCTTAGCAAGCTCCCTCTTGAGATGAGCCCAGAGATACTCAATTGGGTTCAGATCGGGACTTGAAGAAGGCCACTCCAACACCCCAAACTCCTGCTCTTGAAGCCACTGCTGCACCACATGGGACTTGTGCTTGGGGTCGTTATCATGCTGGAAGATCACATCCGTGGGGGAAAGCTCGTAATAGTCGATCGTGTTCTTCAGCTCGTCCTGCAAAATGCTCGGATACAGCGGCTCGTCCATCCTACCATTGATTTTGCACATGAAACCCGCCCCCTCATACGTCATGCATCCCCAAATCATCAAGCAGCCGCCCCCGTGTTTGACAGTCTGCTTGATCTGGTGGTGTTGGAGGGCCGTACCTTCACGAACCCAGGCGTACGCGCGGCCATCATAGCAGAACCTATTGATCTTCATCTCATCCGACCAGATCACCCGTTTCCAATCCTCAACCGTCCAATCAGCGTGGGCTCGTGCGAACTCCAGCCTATCGCGCATATTTTTCTTTGAGAGTCGCGGCTTCCTCGGCTGCAGGATTGCAACAAGGCCGCTAGATTTTAGCACATTACGCACCGTCCTAGGATGCACCGTAATGCCTTGCTGGGATTCGATGATCTGGGCCGCGTGCATCAAGGTTTTCGCCTCGCCGCTAGTAATCGCCCTAACGATCCCACGACGAATTCTATTCGTGATTATGCGTGGACGACCAGCAGTGGGCATGGAAGGACGCACATCCTCGCGACTAGACTCTGAAATAAGCTTGATTCCAAGATCATGTACTGTGCTTTTCCCTACGCCAAAGTCCTTCACGATACGCCTCGTGCTATACCCCCTCTGCAACAGGGTTATGATCCGTGCGCGACGCGTCTCATCTATCGGTCTCATCTCGGCCTAGTCGAAGCCTCGGGTATAAGCTCTTTCCTGACTAATCGAAACCCGCGGTAGAAACAATAGAGATAATGCTGCACTCGAAAACAGATCTAGTCCGCTGCTTGGCCGAAACTGTCCGGATGCACTCACGCGACTCAAATCTTGTCCACGCTATTAGTGCGACCCACTCAATTTGCAAAGTGTTACCACTATGCAGGCAGCACTCGTAACTTACAACATAGCTTCGAAGATTCAGCGATACCTCATTTAAAAGCATTCAACCTTGTGGTTGAACTTAAAAGTGGTTTTTATCCGGGCAATACTTTCCGCCATTGTATTTCCTATCTTCTATATATTCCTGTGTGCTTGCCTTTTTTTATTTATCACTTGCTCTCACATACTAATGCAAGGGTTCAACTACTCAACACTTCCGCTGCACTACTTAAGCATCTTGTACAAGTGGGACTTGGTCTCTGAAAAGATCCCAAGGGCTTTTCTCAGCCCAACAAAATGAAAGACAAGACAATATATAAGAAACCTAGGGCGATCCTGGACGTAGAATCGGAAGGTTAGGGAAAAGTCTCGAAGGGCCTCGATGTGTCGAAGCGAGGTCCGGAAAGGCCCAGGAGGCTCGAACTAAAAGGTCTGGAACCCTGCCGCTGGTTCGGGATTGTTCGAGTTGTTCGCTCTTTAGCAAGCCTCAGTAAGGAATTATTTATTCCTTACACGGTACATTTACTCAATCTATACTCCAGCATGGAAACGTTGGTCACCACGTAGGCCTCAAAATTGTTTTGGACAACACCAGAATATGCACTAAGGGTATTTCTCATGATCATGGCATTCAAAATATTGCTGAGTTCACCAGTGTATAAAATATACGGCATGTTTCATACTGATGAGACCACAAGTATGGTTTGCACTTATTATATCTCCAGCATACGGTACATACCTCAAATTATTCACTTTGATGCAATATTTTACCATAGGGCTCCATGATTTTTAGAATATAATATAACTTGATACATAATAAAAGCAGCATCTCACCGTGTAGCACTCATGTAAAGAATATAAGGCAAGAATGCATAATATAAGGGTGTCTTACAAGCGTTCTATCTAACCTCAATGGGAAGTAGAAAGGGGTGAATAAGTGGCTAACATAACGACCAAAACGCTAACCATGCTAAAGTGAACTCCTACAGGTTATCATGCCCTAATTTTGTGCGTTTCGTTTTTATAGCGCAACTTGTCAGTGTCAATGCGCGGAATGGCTAAAGCTCCGTGCGGAAAATGCTGTAGGGGGGAGATCTGCTGGCACGGAGTTGCCCAATCCCGCCTGGACTAGAATAATATCTTGCTCGCGATTGGGCTACGACTCCACATCACCGAAACAGACTCCACGCACTGGATGAGCTGTCGCTGACTGGCTGGGAAGAAAATCGGCGCCTTGAGACGATATTTCCCGCCATCTGCGTGACACCGCGAGCCACGAATGAAGCCCCTCTGACGCCGCGCGCCAGGAGTCGCAAGGATTAGGTATCGTTAAGTACTCTGTGGGTTTTAGCGAATGCTTAGGGTAGATGCAAGCAGAACAGGCTCACCTCATCGGCAGTTTGAGCTAAAAGCACACATAAGCACTCTTGTACCTTCATCTGCTTACCCAGCCTCCCTAACCAATCAGAACACACCAATCACCCACCTTCCTCTTGGGTTGCAGGGGCACAGCATGCTAGGGCTTTCTATTTCGCTGTCACTTCATCAGCACTCCTTCGCTACCAGAGGATGGGCAAATTGGCAGGTCACGGACGAAAAGCAAAGCCCGCGTGTGGCGCTAACATTTAGCGGCGCTAGGATCTTGAGCTTGCAACGTGCGTGTGGTAGAGAACTCCAGCAGTTTTCCAACCTTCCACATTGCCTTGCGCAACGACTCACCAACCGTTTTCCCGCCATTATCGCGTCTGCTCGGAAGTGGTAGCACCAGGAATTGACACTAGCCATGGCACCAGCAATGGTCTGGTGGTACTGCTAGCACTGTCATGCCAGCACGCCGTCCAGCACGCCGTCCAGCACGCCTTCCCTAACACTGAGCGATTCGCCTCGCGTTCATTCGCCGTAACAACCTTCATTGCGTGCGCCCTGCTTCTCCCGTGCTCGCCTTCAAATCTACCCTCACCGGCACACCTTCCACACAACTAGAATCTTCCACGCAATCCTCCCATGTCGACGCTACTATCTCGCGTTGCAACCTCGCCTTGTCGGCCGTCCCGTCCCCCTTCCTCACCCCACGTCCATATCTTCCCCTCTCACCCCTCTCACCCCTCTCACCTCTCCCACCTCTCCCACCTCTCCCCCGCTCCTCGCGCGACCTCTCCGCCGCCCTTCTCACGCCACCGCGCCGGCGCGTCCCACCATCCCGCCGCGTCTCACGCTCCCGCATTCTATAGCCCCGCTTCTCATGGCCGTTTCCCAGCCGCCGCCGCGCAGCGCCACGTCAGATTTCCGCGGAACGCCAGCGGCGCCGCGACGCGGCCCGTGGCAGCAGCAGCAAGTCTCCTCCTCACGCGACGCGCCGTCGCCTCCGGCGGCGCTCGCGGCGCCGCCTTCTACTCGCGCGCCGACGAGCTGCATTCGCGGCTCTGCTGGCGACTCGGCCGCCTTCCGAACGAAGCCGCCGCGCTCAAGAGGTTCCGGGTAACAGCAACCGCTAGCGGCGGTGGCGGCGGCGGCGCTGCTGCTACAACCTATGTCGCTGCAGCTGCTGCGGCAGTAATTAACTCCTCTTCCTCCTCCTCCTCCTCCTCCTCCTCCTCCTCCTCCTCCTCCTCCTCCTCCTCCTCCTCCTCCTCCTCCTCCTCCTCCTCCTCCTCCTCCTCCTCCGCTTATCCCGGGCAAGAAATGGCTGGAGCAATGGCTCCGACAGTAGCAGCTGCCAACGAGCAGCCTGGAAGTACTATCCTGGCCACGAGCGGGGGAGTGGCTTCTAAGGAATGGTTTAAAGCAGCGAGTAATGCGGCGACTATTGCGGGGACTAATCCGGGGAATAATGCAGGTGAAGGCTTGGACACGTCAGGGCTGTCGCTGGCGCCGCCAGTGGGGATATCACCGGCATTGCCGTCGACTTCAGCAGAAGGAGCAGCAGCAGCAGCAGCAGCAGCAGCAGCAGCAGCAGCAGCAGCGCGTCGGTTCCAAGCCCCGTCGAAACGGCAACACGACCTAAACGCGCCGCGTGTCGCGGTTACTGTAGCCTCCATGTCGGCATCCACGGGTGGCGTAGGAGGACGCGGCTCGGCCTTAGGCAGCAGCAGCGGTGGCAGCGACGCGTTCGGGCCACTGACACGTGGCAGTAGCGGAGTGGTGGCGGGTCTTTTCGCAGGCGCGGCGTGCCTGGGTCTGCTCGTGGTGATGGCGGGCGCTGTGGTCGCGCGGCTGCTGCAGGGAAGTAGCGCCGGGAATCACACCGCAATTGACGCCGGAAGAGGCGGCGGCGGCGGCGGCGGCGGCGTCCGGGAAGGTACGAATAGGCGAGCCAGTAATGGTGGGGTTAGCAGTGACGGAAGAAGAAGCAGCAGCAGCAGCAGCAGCAGGTGGGGGAGTAACGGGCTGAAAAGGCTTCTGCCCCTTATCCCTCCGTTCGCAGTAGGAAGAGCGGGTGCAGGAGCAGGGGGAGGAGGAGACCGAGACGAGGGAGCAGGCGCAGCAGCAGCAGCAGCAGCAGCAGCCGTGGGGGGTTCGATTGGGAGGGCGCGAGGATTGGGAGTCGTTGGGGGAGGGGGAGGGGGAGGGGGTGGAACAGCGACGCTGGAAATGCGAGAGACGGAGGTGCTTGCAGCAGCCACTGCTGGCGCTGCTGCTGCTCTCACTGCCCCAGGTATGTCATTCTCTTCCTTTGCCTTCACTTCCCCTGTTCCTGATGGGGATGAGCTGAATGTCACCTCTCTCCCTCTCTCTCTATGTGAGTATCTTCCTTCCCCTACCCGGTCATTTTTTAGTCGACTCAAAAGTTACCCGGTCATCCCTTCCCCCATGCGTCAGCCCGTATTTGCGAGTGTCTTTAGGGTTTGGCTGGTGTTACATGACGGAATTTCGGGCAGGAGAAATCCCCCGTACGGTTTCGCAACCGTCGCGACGGTTACACTTCTGCAACTGTCCGCGGTAACAAAATACTGCCGCGGTGACGTTTCTTCTCCCGTGGTAACACTTATCAACTGTCTGTAATTGTTGCTGTTTTCACAGCAATTTCGCGGGCAGGGAGGAATTTCTCCTGCCCGAAATTTCGTCATGTAGCAGCTGGCCTCTCAAACCTTCGTTACTAACTACCAGCGCCACTCTTCCTCCCTCCTCCCATGCCCCCCTTACCTCCCTCCTTGGACCAATCACAGTGCGCCAAGTCACCGAACCCGACCTTCACGTGTTACTGCCCATCAGCGCTCCCCTTTCCAAGCCAACCACTTCCACCCCCACCATCGATACCCCACACCCTTCCCTCCCTACTGCTCTTTTGTCGCCTCGTGCTGTCTCCACTGCACCCCCCCTCCCCCTCCCCCGCCCCCTCCTCCTCCTCCACCGCCCTCCCCCACGATTGCTCCCGTTCCTTCCTCCTCCTCCTCCTCCTCTTCCTCCTCTCCTCCTCCTTCTGCCCACTCGTCTTCCTCTCTCAATGCTGGCAACAGCAGTGGGTCGCGTTCTGCTGCTCCCTTCTCTCCTCCCTCCGCTCCTCCCTCCTCTCCTCTTACTCCCACTCCTCCTCCCTCTGCTCCCTCACCTGCGGCCTCCTTCCCTCCCTTCCCTTCCTCCCTTCCCTCCCCTCCCCCTTCTCCATCCCCGTCCCCACTCTCTTCGCCTCCCTCTGCTCCTCACAAGCTGCCGCATCCTAGCCACTCCTCTTCCTCCACCCTCGCAGCTGCTGCCGACGTGTCCATAATCCCAAATACTGTGCTCTCTGTTGTGGGTATCCTACCCCTAACCCACTCTACTGATGCCACTGCCGCTCATTCAGCTGAGTCGCCTCATCCTACCGATCTCACTGATCCTACCGAGTTTACTGTGTTGGCTGATCCGGCAAGATTTGTAGATTCTAATGAGTTGACTAACCCTACCGACTCTGATTCTGCTGCTGGATCCGCATGCGCTGGTGGTGCTTGTGCTGATGCTGCTAGCCGTTCTGCTGCACCAGCGTCTTTTGAGGCGCCTCAAAAGTCTGATGCTGCTAGCCGTTCTGCTGCACCAGCGTTCGCATCACTGACCAACATCGCTGCCGCCACCGCTGCTGCTGCTCCTACTGCTGCTGCTACTCCTGCTGCTACTACTGCTGCTGCTGCTACTCCTACTGCCTCTACTGCTGTTGCCACTACTGCTGCTGCCACTACTGCTGCTGCCACTACTGCTGCTGACACTATTGCTGTAGCCACTACTGCTGCTGCCACTACTGCTGCTGCCACTACTGCTGCAGCCACTACTGCGGCTGCCACTACTGCTGCTGCCACTACTGCTGCTGCCACTACTGCTGCTGCCACTACTGCTGCTGCCACTACTGCTGCTGCCACTACTGCTGCTGCCACTACTGCTGCTGCCACTACTGCTGCTGTCACTACAATCGTCTCCAGCAGCAACACCACTACCACAGTTGCTGCCACTGCCACCGCAACTAGCGATGCTCCTAGCCCTGCCCCCACTGCTGCTGCTGCTGCCACTACTATCGCTACGAGCAGCAACACCACTACCACACTTGCTGCCACTGCCACCGCAACTAACGACGCTCCTAGCCCTGCCCCCGCTACTCTCACCGCTGCTGCTGCTGCCACTACTATCGCTACCAGCCGCGAAACCACTACCACAGTTGCTGCCACTACCGCTGCAACTAGCGATGCTCCTAGCCCTGCCCCCGCTGCTGCCACCGCTGCTGCTGCTGCTACTTCTGCTGCTGCTGCTTTGGCCATCCCTGAGTTGCATGCTGCCACAGCCGCAGAAGAAGCAGCGGCTGGTCCGAGCAGGGAAGGCAGCGGGGATGGGGTGGACGCAAGGCTCAAAGCAGCAGTACCAGCAGTCACAGCTCCTCCTATTGCAACTCCTTCTGTAGCGACAGCTGCTGTGGAAGCACCTACTGTTGCAACTCCTGCTGTGGCGACCCCTGATGTGGCGACGCCTGCTGTGGCGACTCCTGCTGTGGCGACTCCTGCTGTAGCGACTCCTGCTGTTGCAACTCCTGCTGTCGCAGCTGCAGTGGCAACTCCTGGTGCAGTGACCCATACGGTCACACCTCGTGCTGGTAAATCACCTCCTGCTGTTCCCACTCCTGCTGTAGCAAAGCCATCAGTAGCAGTAGCAGCAGTAGGAGTAGGAATAGCAGGTGGTGGTGCATCAGCAAGTGCGGAGAGGAGGAGCCAGGGCAGGCGATTGCTGCGGAAAGATAGGCGAGTGCCAGGAAGGACGTTCGTTAGCTCTGCTGTGAGGCCCGTGCCTGCTGCTGCAACTGCCCACTCATTTGCTGGCAGCAGTGCCGCTACCGCCGGCACCGGCACCGGCACCGGCACTGGCAGTAACAGTTCGAGCAGTATTCTGGCCTCGAACCCCACCGCCACTACTACCAGCACCAGCAGCACCAGCACCGGCAACGGCAACGGGAACAGCAAAAGCGGTAGTGTTAGTGGGACAAGTATTGCTGGTTTGAGCAAGAGCCTAGATTCTTTGAGCACGAGTGTGAATCACGAGCAAGTGAAGTACTCTGCACTCGCGTACCTCGTTGCCACACCGAGAACAGCGGATGATGACAACCGCAGCAGCAGCAGTAGCAGCAGAGATAACAGCAGAAATGGTGCAAGCAGCAGCATTGCCAGCAGCAGTGGCACGAACGGTGGCAATACAGATTTGTCTTTCAGCAGAAGCAGCAGCAGCAGGGGGAGCAGCACGGCACCAGCAGAAGATCCAAAAATGGCACTAGCTGTAAGCTATTGAATTGAGAGATATAAGGGAAATGAGGGCAGTGTGTGCATGATCTGGCACTTATCGTTCACGCCTCTCTCACGCCTCTCTCACGCCTCTCCCACGCCTCTCTCACGCCTCTCTCACGCCTCTCTCACGCCTCTCTCATGCCTCTCCCACGCCTCTCTCATGCTTCTCTCATGCCTCTCCCTGTCATCCTCATCAACCCCCTGGTTTTCCCCCAACCCCCTCACTTAACCTTCTCTCCTTGTCACCCTCCTTCGGAGCACCTCTTCACCACCTCCCTCCCCCACTTTCCTCCATACTTCTCCCCCTCCCTTCCTTCCTCCCCCCTCTCTCTCTCTCTTCCTCATACACACTGCTCTGTGTGCGGCCTCCCCTCCCCTCGCCCCTTTCCCCCAAGCAGCAGCAGTTAGAGATGGATAAGGATCGTCTAGTTTCTATCCTCAGTGTGACTCCCCCCTGCTCACAGCCATGGCCTACGGAGGGGTTTGAGTTTACTCAAATGTGCACTGTGCACCATCTCCCCTCAATCCCCCCCTCGTCGCTTTCCCCCCAAGCAGCAGCAGACAGAGATGGAGAAGGAGCAACTAGTGTCTGTCCTCAGTGCGGCTCCTCCTCTCACAGCCATGGCTTTTGGAGGACTCATTGCCATCTCATCTGGATGTGAGTCATGTGGTCGCTAAAGAAGACCGCTCTGCAGTTGTTGGGGGTTGATCCCGAACGCTTCCCCTCTCTTGCTCATTCTAGCATCTATCTGTTGGAATCTGTTCAAAGTTTTTCCGTTTTTACCCTCTGTTCTCTCCCCCCCCCCCTTCTCACTAACACACCCACACAAATATCACCCACCCATCCACACACACAACCACACACACATGCACACGTGCTATTGTTGGGGTTCCTTGTGTTTGGCAGGGACTAATGGCATGGAGGCAGTCGGCATAGCTGCACTGGTGGCCTTCATTGCACAGGACCTATGGCCCGATGAACGAAGGTGCGTAAACATCACATTCAATAAGGTCTGTTCTTCGCAGCAATAAGGTGCGGGGCCATTTTACTCGGCAGGTTTGAAAAGGTCTCATTGTTTTCTTTGCTGTGGTATGCAGGGCACAACTACGCTGGGAGCTCAGCAACCTTAAAAGGTGGAGAGATGTGAGGCACTTTTTATGGCGAAGGAAAATCACCCTCAGAATATGATATGCTGCTCCGTTAACCAGTATGCAGTGTGGAAGCTGGGTTATGGGTCCCGTTTAAGGAAAGGGTGTTCTTAACGTTGCACATGTAGGATATTCTACTAAGGGTATAACATGATGTACACTTCCGACTAAGTTATTGTACCTAGTTCTGCATATCCGTAAGCCTCTTCGTCGTAGACGTGCTCTGGCCAATCATAACTCGTCGCTGACGGAAATCTTTGACCCATACAGCAGAGGTGATCACAGACAGACGTGCGGTTTTTTCGCGGGCACGAAAATTCGCTTGGCGTCCGCACTGAATGCGTGGGATGAAACAATGCGTTTTAGCACTGAATGTATCACTGTTCCGTACTGCCCAGCCTTGAGTTTTGTCATTATTTTCTCGTCGTTGCAGAGCTAAACCGAACCGAACCCACCTACCGACCATATTCTGGCCTGGTCCTGGTTCTGTTCTGTGGTATGCCTGTCCTGTAGTTTTCTGGTCCTTACGGGCTGTTTCACCTACCGATAGTAGCAGTTCTAGGACATGGTTAGTAGGTTAGGTTGGCCTTCCTCGTGCAAGGCACTCCCTCCTCGCCAACGACTGTTGTTTTAGCTGCGGTGCGCGTTAGTGATAACTAGTTGTCGCCTGGCGATTGCTATTGGTCGTTGTGATCCACCTCAAGGTGCTCCTCAGTCGCAATAGACGCCATTGCTCGTACTGCTACGTGACCATCTCTGATCGGAGTTGAAATATATAACCCAGTTCGTCTTGGGCCGCTGAATACGTTAATTCTCTCTGAGAGGGGGAACTCTTGCTGGCACGCTGTTCCACGCCGTTCCACGCCGTTTCACACCGTTTCACGTCGTTTCAAGATGAGGCCTTCCGTTCTCTTGCCGCTGCTGCTGGCACTCTCACACGCAGGTACGTCGCTCAACCCGACGCACGCTCACACGTGTCAGTTGGACGCATTCTCCCTCCTTCTAAAGCCCAGATTAGAATGAGGTCTACCAGCGGGCAGCATGTAAGCGGGTTTTCTCTGATGCCTATGCGCTTTCTCTTTCCCTTCATCCCAAGCGGGGCTCCGCTGGCCACAACGTAACCGAAGAACAGCGGAGAACCGAATCGACGTCTCATATTCCGTCGTCTCACATTCCGTCGTCTCATATTCCGTCGTCTCATTTTCCGTCAGACAAGCTTAGCCCGTTCAATCACTCGTGTTCAGTAACCCACCAAAGTGAGCTTTTCTCTTCCGAGTGAGACGTTCCTAGCATAGGCGGCTACCTCCCACCCATAGCACGGGTCGTTGAACCTACTTTTGCGGCGCCGCGCTCCGACTCTTCAGGCGCTCCGGCAGCCAGCAGCTCATTATACGAGCGAGCGTGGGTCAACGTCAACGTCAACGTCAACGTCAAAGACAACAATTCCGAATGTTTTTTCTTCTCCCTCCCACGAACCCTATCCTCCCGCCAGCCTTCCCCGCGCTTGCGCAGAACCAAGGGTATGACTACCGCGGCGACGGCCCCCCCGCAGGCGGGGGAACCAGAGGGACTTACGGGGGCGGGGGAAACTACGGCGGAGGCGGCGGGGGAGCGGGCGGAGCAGCACCGGGCCAGGGGGGGAACCGCTGGGCGGGAGGGGCAGCGGGCGGGTATTCAAACGCCGCTGGTGGGGCAGCTAACCAATGGGGGGGAGGCGGAGGGGGGGCGGGCGGAGCGGGGGGGGCGGGCGGGGGAGGTTACGGCGGTGGCGGGGTGAATACCTGGAAGGCTGGCGGAAGAGGGGGTCCGGGCGTGGGCGGGGGAGCTTGGGGCGGAAACGCGGGGGGAAATGTGGCTGGCGCTGGTAATTGGGGTGGTTTAGGCGCAGGGGGAACTGGGGCGGGTGGAGGCCCCGCAATGGCTGGTTCTGGCGCAGTACAAGCGGACGCGACCAGGTGGGGGGGACAAGGGGGAGGGTATTCCGGGGGAGGTGCCGGCGGGGCGGGGCAGAGGGGCGGAAGCCCTGCAGGGGGAAACAGGTGGGCGGGTGGTGGAGGTGGAGGGGGAGGCGGGGGAGGGGGAGCGTACAGTGGCGCCGGGGGAACATGGGCGCAGGGTAATCCGAACCAGGGCGGGTCTAATACTGCGGCATGGGGGGGCGCTGGTGCAGGAGCAGGGGAAGGCGCGGGCATGGGCGCAGGGGCTGGCGCAGGTGCAGCTGCAGGACCGCCCAATGGCGCTGGCTTCCCCAATACCATGGGAGCAGGGGCAGGCGGAGCATGGGGGCAAGGTGCAGGGGGGAACCCAGGGGAGGGGAACACAGGTGGGGCATGGGGGGCTGGGGGATTCGGCCCAGGGGGAGCAGGAGGCGGAGGCATGGGGGGAGCGGGCATGGAGGGGGGGGACATGGCGGGGGGAGGCCCAGCAGGCGTGTCAGGGCGACAGGCATACGTGCAAGCGCAGCAGCAACTGCTGCAGGAGCAGGGGCATGGGCCAACAGAGGGACAGGGTGCGAATTTCATGCGTGATCCGCCGCTTAGTCAGGAGGGATGCTTGTCTGCAGTGAGTCAGTTTGTAGAGAGTATGATGGTGGAGATGCCCAAGGGGCTGGATATTCACGACCGGAAGCAGGAGCCGATTAAAGACCTGCTCTTCTTCCTGCATGTGCCGCGCACGGGAGGACGCACCTACCACCAATGGTACGCTGTGATGCCCTGCCATGCCCTGCCATGCCATGCTGTGCTGTGCTGTATTAAGCTCCCACACCGAGCCTCACCGTATCCCGAACGGTTCTCCATTGCCCCTGTCCCTACATCTGTTCCCTCACCTGTCCGTGCTCCCCCCCACCCCTCCCCCCCTGCAGTTTCCTCAAGCCTCTGTTTCCGGTGTCGCTGCGCTGCCCGCGCTCCTACGACGAGCTCCGATTTGACCCCTCGTAAGCCACCAATGCCACTCATCATCAATGCCACATCACATCACATCACATCACATCGCATTGCATGGCATGGTGTTGCATGGATCCACATCACATCACATCACCGCCTATTGCCTCTTCCCCTCCCCCTCCTTCCCCACCTTCCTTTCCCCCCCCCCCCCCCCTTCTTCCCCCCCCCCGCTCATGCATAATGTGCAAGTGCATCCTCTCCTCCACCCCTATTCCCCTACCAATCACCTCACTTCTCTTCCCCCTTTCTCCCTCCTCCCTCCCTTCACCGCCCATCCCTCACCATCCCCAAAACCCCCTTCCCCACTTCACCCCCCAACTCCTGCTCCCCCTCCCTTCTCCTCCCTCCCCTCTCCCTCCCCCCCCTCCATAACAAACCAACCCCCCTTTCCAGCAAGCCCCAGTGTCGGCTGCTCTCCACGCACGACGACTACTCGCTCATGGCAAAGCTGCCCCACGCCAACACGTCCGTGGTGTCGTCCATGCGCGACCCCGTGGACCGCGTCCTCAGCGCCTACGAGTTCACCGTCGAGGTGGCGTCGCGCTCGCTGCACTGGGTGCCCAGCCTGAACCCCGGGGAGAGCTTGCTGGAGGCGAGAAGGAGCGCGAGGAAAAGGTTTACGAGGATGTCGCGCGCGGAGACGAGGCGCGTGTGGCCCTGGAGCCTGCTCATCCCGATTATGGAGGACGACCTCTGGCTCCGGGTGGGTTTTCTCTCCTCTTATGGTTCCTTTGAGCTGGAGTGGGGCTGCATGGGGTAAGAGGGAGTGCGGTTGGGTGAGGCACGGTGCGATGTCAGGGCATGGTTTGGAGGTCGCCTCGCAGTCGCTGCACTGGGTGCCCAGCCTCAACCCTGGAGAGAGCTTGCTGGAGGCGAGAAGGAGCGCGAGGAAAAGGTTTACGAGGATGTCGCGCGTGGGGACGAGGCGCGTGTGGCCCTGGAGCCTGCTCATCCCGATTATGGAGGACGACCTCTGGCTCTGGGTGGGTGGGTGGGGTTGGTGGGATGAATGGGCTGCTTGGCGCGTGTGGCCCTGGAGCCTGCTGCTCATCCCGATCATGGAGGACGACCTCTGGCTCTGGGTGGGTGGGTGGGATGGTGGATTGGTGGGTGGGTGGGTGGGTTTGGTAGTGCGGGTGGAATGTGGCCCCATGGTGGAAGGGCATCGTGTAGTGTGGCCGTGGAGTGGAGCCTGCTCATCCCCATGATCATGGAGGACGCCCTCTGGGGCTCCGGGTGGGTGTGGTTGGTTTGATTGGGGCTGTGGCCTTGGGTGGGCTGATTGATTAGGGGTTGTGCGGGTTGGTGGGTCTGACTGTCTGGTGCAGGAGGTTGTGGCCCTGGAGTCTGGAGCCTGTTCATTCCCATCTTGGAGGACGGCCTCTGGCTCCGGGTGGGTGGGTGTGTGTTACTGTTATGGCTCTTTTGAGCTGGAGTGGGGCAGTGTGGGGCAAGAGGGCCTGCTGCGGCTGGGTGAGGTATGATGTGGTGGTAGGGCATGGTTTGGAGGTCGCCCTGCACTCGCTGCACTGGGTGCCGAGCCTCATAATCCCATCCCCTCCCCCTCCTCTCCCTTCCCCCCCCCCATCCCCCCCCTCCCTCCCCCCCCCCCCTAACACCCCACCCCCACCTATCTACCCCCTCCAACACTCCCTCCCCTTCCTCCCCCCCCCTCCCCCCCAACACCCCCGCCCCCTCCTGCAGCGCAACAGCACGGACATCCCACCTCCACCCCCAGGCGCGGAGAGCCTGAACGGGTACGACAAGGGGTACCTGGTGATGCCGCTGATCGACTATGTCAACAGCCCCGCCGTTATGGACCTCATCCACAATGGCGCCACCTTCCACGTGAGTGCCGTTGAATAGCCGTTTTTAATTGATTTAACCATGAACAGTAAAAAGACATGGCTGCAATAAAGGGGTGTATCAAGTAGGCTGAACACCACGACGTCACGTTTTGACGTCGATTCACCCTTTCGAACGCACAGAGAGATTCTCAATCCTGCGAAGACGCACTGTACCCTTTTGGGGCGTCGGGTGACGTCGTTTTTCTCACACATGATAGGCGCCCTGATCATGTGCTTCTTCGGCCGTGCCTGCTCTGGTTGTGATATCGTCCCTTCCATCTCTGCTTTTGAGTCGACTCAAATGCAGAACTTGGCTCGGCTCGGCTTGTCGGGGGGCGCTTGTGTGGGCTTTCAAGTGGGGCCACGGGGTTTGGGGTCTCTGCAGTGCGGGACTAGGCCTAAGCGGCGTGCCCAAGCCTAAACCCTAGCCTAGGCCTCGGTGGGCACGCGCGCCGCCTAGGCCTTGGTGGTGCTCGCTTAGATCTTACAAAACTATTAGGAGGTGCTGCAGGTTTAAATAGGGCTACAGGGTGAGGTTAGGGTTGGCTGACGAAATGGGTGCAGGGGGGTTTGTCGATCTGAAATTTGACAGTCGCGAAACCCCCCCTTTCCTGAGTCGGGTGCCAAAAAAATAGGCTCGGCTCGCCTTTTCAGCGAGTCGAGCCGAGCCGAGCCAGGTGTGGCTTGGCTTGTGCCCATGTCTACTCTCCCCAACTCTCCCCCATCTCCCTTCCCTCAGTCTCCACCCATCCCCTCTCTCCTGCAGGCACCCACCCTCCCACCTCCACCCACCCTCCCCTCCCCACTCGCCCCACCCATCGCCATCAGGTGGCGGGCATAACACAGAACTCCCATCTGGTCATCCTTCCCATGACTCTTTGCCCAAGCCAATCCCCCCATCTCCCTCCTCCGCCCCTCTCCTGCATTATGCATGACACCCACCCACCCTCCCCACCCACCCTCCCCACCCCACCCACCCCACCCATCGCCACCAGGTGGCGGGCATAACACAGAACTCACGCTACCCCAACGCGCGCATGCTGCGGCGCTGCGCGTCCACGTTCAAGGACTCAGGAGAGAAGATCCTCACTCTCGCTAAGGTAACATCACCAACATTACCGGGCTCATGTAACATCACCAACGTTACCAGGATAAGGTAACCGCACAAAACGCTGGCTGAGGCAAGGCCCCCTGTACGCGCATGTTGTGGGGCGCTGTGTGGCCTCATTCAAAGACTCAGGAGAAAAGATCCTCAGGTCCCCACCCTGCGGCTGCCGCCGCCGCCGCTGCTGCTGCTGCTGCTGCTGCTGCCACTCCTGCCGCTACCGCTGACTCCCCTGGTTCTGCTGATGCGAAGTTTGCTGCTCACTGTTTGATTCGCTCACTGCTCACTATGTAGCTGCTGTTCGCTAGCTTGGGTTCTGTCTAGCAGTGCACTTTTGAGTCGACTCAAAAGCTCACTGCTCACTGTGTAGCTGCTGTTGGCTAGCTTGGGTTCTGTCTAACAGTGCACTTTTGAGTCGACTCAAAAGCTCACTGCTCACTGTGTAGCTACTGTTCGCTAGCTTGGGTTCTGTCTAGCAGTGCACTTTTGAGTCGACTCAAAAGCTCACTGCTTACTGTGTAGCTGCTGTTTGCATGCTTGGGTTCTGTCCAGCAGTGCACCATGCTCCCTGGGAACTCCAACCAGCCTCCCCAAACCCTGCAGTAACAGCTGTGCCCTTAAAACAAACGTTAACAGCTGTTCTGACGGGCACAAGATGCCCGTTGTTGTGACGCCGCTCTGTTCTCCTACCCAAGCGGGATGTTTTTGAGACGGGTAGGGAAACAAGAATCTTGTTCACATAAATACCTTGTTGTTGTGACGCCGCTCTGTTCCCCTACCCAAAGTCCTCCGTCCCTCCTCGGCAACTTGGCGCGTGGTGTGCATGTGCATGTGCATCGCCAAATGGGTGCATGGGACATGGTGCACGCGGTGCATGGCTTATGTTGCATCCTGTGCATGCTGTGCAGGCTCACCTGGCGAACATGCTGCATGTGGGGTATACACGAGGAATTAACAGGGCGCCCTACACGCCTCACCTTTCTCCTCCCTCTCTCCTATCCCCCATTCTCGACTTCATGCCCATACTCTGTTTTTGAGAATTCTCAACAACAAAACCCATGCTGCATGTGCGTGCGGTGCGATTTACAGAGGTGCACGAGGAATCAGCAGATTGCCACTCACGTCTCACCTTTCTCCTCCCCATCCTCCCCATTTTCCCCATCCTCCCCGTTCTCAGGCGCACCTGGCGAACATGCTACATGTGGGGCTCACAGAGGTGCATGAGGAGTCGGCCATTCTCTTTGCCGCCACCATCGGCAGATCCCTGCACTCTGCGCCACACATCAACGGTAATGCTCTACCCTACCCTCAATGGTAGGTTGAAGGCACTGGCTTTTGAGTTGTCTCCAGAAGTCACAGGCCTCTGCACTCCGCACCGTGCACCATGCATCATGCATCAATGATGAGATGTATGTAACGCTGTGGCGTCCACCGACCGACATGGTGACTTTTGAGCCGACTCACAATCCGCAGGCCTCAGCACTCCGCACCATGCACAATCCCTCCCAACTGCCCTCCCTCTCGCCCCTCCTCCATCCCTCCCCTCTCTGCACATAATCCCCACAAGAGTTTGGCGGAAGCTAAGGCTGAGGTGAGAAGCCTGGACTTTAGGCAGCTCACAAACAGGATCTTCCCTCTCTCCCCCCCTCCGTCCCTCCCCTCTCTGCAGACAAACCGAACAAGAGCTCAGAGGAAGCCAAGGCTGAGGTGAGAAGCCCTAGATTTGAGGCGACCCACAAACAGGTTCTTCCTGCCCTCTCTCTCCTCTCTTCCCTCTCTCTCCTCTCTTCCCTCTCGCCCCTCCTCCGCCCCTACCCTCTGTGCAGACAAACCGAACAAGAGCCCAGAGGAAGCCCAGGCTGAGGTGAGCTGGCAGGGACGGAGGGGGGTGCAGGATGAGGGGAGGTTGGAGGTGGGGGTGGGGGGGTGTGAGAGGGCATTTATCCCAAGCGAGCATTAGCCTACCTGCTGCCAGGCAGTTTATGAGCCACCTTGTATTCTGATGTGTTTTGAGTCGACTCAAAACACAATGTATGAGCCACCTTGTATTCTGATGTGCCTCACATACCAAACCTCGAGCACTCCCCTTCACTACTCCACCCGGTGTGCACCCCAGGCGAGCATCTTTCTGCTGGATCACTACAAGCAGGGCCAAAGGCCCCTAATAAACCCCTCCCCTCTCCCTTTCCCCTCTCCCTCTCGCCATGCACCCCAGGCGAGCATCACGCTGCTGGACCACTACAAGCGGTGTGTGGACAAGCAGCGCGCGCGCTACACTATGCGCAGATCACAGGCCATGGGCGCGCTGGGGCCCCTCAACTTCTCGCACCAGGTGGGTGGGTGGGTGGTGGGCAGTTGTATGGTTGAGGCACCTTGAGGAATAGCTGCCTCTTGAGGCCTGTCTTCTCCTCAAAAGGAGCTTTCAGACGCCTCAAAGAAGGTCACAGGCCATGGGCGTGTAGTTTTGAGGCGCCTCAAAACAGGCCATGGGCGTGTAGTTTTGAGGCGCCTCAAAACTAGTCTCCTCAAAAGGAGCTTTCAGACGCCTCAAAGAAGGTCACAGGCCATGGGCATGTAGTTTTGAGGCGCCTCAAAACAGGCCATGGGCGTGTAGTTTTTAGGCACCTTAAAACCAGTCTCCTCAAAAGGAGCTTTCAGACGCCTCACAGAAGGTCACAAGCCATGGGAGCGCTGAGGCCCCTCAACTTCTCGCACCAGGTGGGGGGGTGGTGGGTGGGCAGCTCCAAGTGTTTTAGGCCCTTTTTGAGAAATCTCAAAAGGCTCTTCAATAGACGAGCTTTGAGACGCCTCAAAACAGGTCACAGGCCATGTGCCGCGCGCACTGGGGTCTGTTATCTTCTCGCACCAGGTGGGTGGTGGGTGGTGTGGTGGGTGTTGGGCATTTCCTTGTTCGAGTCTCCTCAATAGACGAGCTTCCAGACGTCCCAAAACAGGATGCGTGCGGGCGACGGGCACACTGGGCTGGGGCGCGTCAACTTGTCGCACCAGGTGTGTGTGACTCTCTTCTCTTCTCTGCAATCCATACCTGTGCAAGGCAGCATGTGTATGAGTTTCGTCTCGCGCCAGAAGGAAGTCACCCTGCCGCCGCAGGAGCACGCACGTGTGAATACGCTCATGTTTTCACCCGCACACACCTCCCCCACCTCACATGTATGCACGCACACGCACACGCACACGCGCACGCACACGCACACGCACACACGCATGCACACGTGCATGCACACGCTCACGCGCACGCCCACGCACAGACACACGCACAGACACACGCACAGACACACGCACACGCGCACGCACGCCCACACACCGGAGCACACACTTCAACACACATCCCCACACCCCTACCTACCCACCCAACTCCACCCGTGGTTTTGATGGCAGGAGCGCAAGGGCATTCGCAAGGAGGTGGTGCAGCGCATCAGAGAGCTCAACATGCTCGACAGCGAGCTGCTGGACTTCGCCCGCCAGGTCTTCAAGCAGCAGCAGGTAGGGGGCTGTGTGCCGTGTGCTGTGTGCCGTGTGCCGTGTGCCGCATGCTGTGTGCCGTGTGCTGTGTGCTGTGTGCTGTGTGCCGTGTGCCGTGGGCCGTGGGCCGTGGGCTGTGTGCCGTGTGCCGTGTGCCGTGTGCTGTGTGCCGTGTGCCGTGGGCTGTGTGCCGTGTGCCGTGTGCCGTGTGCCATGTGCCGTGTGCCGTGTGCCGTGTGCGTGTGCTGTGTGCCGTGTGCTGTGTGCCATGTGCTGTGTGCTGTGTGTTGTGTGCCGTGTGCCATGTGCTGTGTGCTGTGTGCTGTGTGCTGTGTGCCGTGTGCCGTGTGCCGTGGGCCGTGGGCCGTGGGCCGTGGGCCGTGGGCTGTGTGCCGTGTGCCGTGTGCCGTGCCGTGTGCCGTGTGCTGTGTGCCATGTGCTGTGTGCTGTGTGCTGTGTGGTGTGTGCTGTGTGTTGTGTGCTTGTGTGCCGTGTGCCTTGTGCCGTGGGCCGTGGGCTGTGTGCCGTGTGCCGTGTGCCGTGTGTCGTGTGCCGTGAACTGTGTGCTGTGTGCTGTGTGCCGTGTGTCGTGTGTCGTGTGCCGTGTGCCGTGGGCCGTGGGCTGTGTGCCGTGTGCCGTGTGCCGTGCCGTGTGCCGTGTGCTGTGTGCCATGTGCTGTGTGCTGTGTGCTGTGTGTTGTGTGCTTGTGTGCCGTGTGCCTTGTGCCGTGGGCCGTGGGCTGTGTGCCGTGTGCCGTGTGTCGTGTGCCGTGAACTGTGTGCTGTGTGCTGTGTGCCGTGTGTCGTGTGTCGTGTGCCGTGTGCCGTGGGCTGTGTGCCGTGTGCCGTGTGCCGTGTGCCGTGGGCTGTGTGCCGTGTACCGTGTGCCGTGTGCCGTGGGCCGTGGGCTGTGTGCCGTGTGCCGTGTGCCGTGTGCCGTGTGCTGTGTGCTGTGTGCCGTGTGCCGTGTGCCGTGTGCTGTGTGCCGTGTGCCGTGTGCCGTGTGCCGTGTGCCGTGTGCTGTGTGCTGTGTGCTGTGTGCTGTGTGTTGTGTGCTTGTGTGCCGTGTGCCGTGTGCCGTGTGCCGTGGGCTGTGTGCCCTGTGCTGTGTTCCGTGTGCTGTGGGCTGTGTGCCCTGTGCTGTGTGCCGTGTGCCGTGTGCCTGTGTGCCTGTGTGCCGTGTGCCGTGTGCCGTGTGCCGTGTGCTGTGTGCTGTGTGCTGTGCGCTATTCTCTGTGCTCTCTCACATGCATGTGGCATATGCGAATGTGATAAAAGCATTCAAGGAGTGGCCCATCGACAACAGCACCTCCTATCATCGCCTTTACCTCTCTTCTCTCTCTCCCCCCCTTCCAACCACCCTCCCTGTGCCGTCCCATCCCACATACAGTTGGCATATGCGGACATGGTAAAGGCAGTCATGGATGGAGGAGTGGCCCATTCCATCCACTCTGTCCTTGACCTCTCTGCCCGCCCCCCCCCACCCCCACCCCCTGCTTCTTCTCTGTGCTGTCGCCTTCCTTCCCCCCATGTGCTGTCGCATGTGCTGTCCCACATGCAGTTGGCATATGCGGACATGATAAAGGCCGTGATGGAGGAGTGGCCCATCAACAACAGCACTGACGACAGCCACCTCGGCCGCAGGAGGAGACTCTCCTCGTCGTATGCCTCTCCTGGCAGCAGCAGCAGCAGCAGAATGTTTACAAGAGGAAGCCAGGTGACTCCTGGCACGGCTGCCACTGCTGCTGCTGACACTGCTTCTACTGCTGCTGGTGTTGGCGGTACAGTGGAGCATGAGGAGTCTAGCCTCATGCTGCAACACCAAGGAGACATGAGTGCTGATGATGGGGATGATGATGGGTATGGTGACGATGACGATTGCCTGTCATACTCGATTGCAGCAGTGGCTGGGCAAGCAAGTGGCTCGTTGTAGAGCAACTCGTTGTAGGAAATGCTACCAGAAGAGAGGTTCTGCTTCTGCAATTTGTTTATTGTTTGTGGAAAATTCTGGGTCATTTGCTTGTGTCACAGTCACTTGTTCTTTAAGGCAAAGCACCATGCCTTGTGATGTACGTTGCACACTAGCACCTTAGTCACAATTTTGCACATTCATTACTGTTGGGCTGAGAAAAGCCCTAGGATCTTTTCAGAGACTAAGTCCCACTTGTATGAAATGCTTGAGTAGTGCAGCGGAAGAGTTGAGTAGTTGAACCCTTCCACTAGTATGTGAGAGCAAGTGATTGATTAAAAGAAGCAAGCATACAGGAATATATAGAGAATAGGAAAAAGAGTAGTTTGTGTGTGGGTTGTGTGGGTTTGCCACTACCAAGCCTAGGGGGTGTGTTCAAATTATATTTTTATATAATTGTAGGCTTGGTAGTTATGCTACTAACTGCATCCTACTGTAGGGGGGACAACCCCCTTCTTGTACTTCATTCTCTTCTAGTCTACCTCTCTTCTCTCTCGACACTCTCGTCCAGCTTCTAGCTAAACCCTTGGCCGCCATTTCATGGCGGCCTCCTCTGTTCTTCCTAGTTCAGACTTTAACATGGTATCGAGAGCGGGATGCCCTTCCTGGGCCTGCTCCCCTCCGTGCTTTCCGCTGCATTCTCGTGCGTTCGTCGCTCCTGCCGTGCCGCCGTGGCGGCCATGTCGCATGGCTGCCACGTCGAGCAGCCGTGCTGGGCTTGCCGCCAGGCCTCAAAATAGCCGGGTGAAATGCCTTGATTGCCCTGATTTTTCCGGGTATTTTTCATGTTACTCTTAAAAATCCGACTTGTAATTTTTTTAAGGCTGATTCAAAAAGTGTTCGCCTTTTTTTACCCTGCTAGAACCAGGGTTAGGCGCCTCCCAGCCCTGAGGCGTCAGGGTAGAATGAAAATTACCCTGATACAGAAACTCCAAAGAGGCAAGATACGTGCCAGATTTTGTGCGAGTGATGCCCGCCACGCCACCGCCACGCCCCTCGTCAGTCCGAAGTTTGTTGCCCACCATCATCACATGCGCATGGGCACGTGTTGATGGTACCACCTCGTTGGCTTTGCGCCGCCTTACGATTGGTTAGAGTGGCAGCATTGTTTCCTCGCTGGGTGACAAGTTCGCGCGCCGACAGTGAATGCTGATGCATGCAGCAACTTCACAGGTTTTTTCCTGTGAGCTGAGCGGTCCCAAACGAGGCTCTTGACTGCACACCTTTTGTGTCTCGCAAAACGCCCTTCTTCTCCATACGTTTCTTCCAGAAACCATGCCCCCTGACTTGCAACGAGCATTCCCTCACCCAGTAGAGTTTCGAGTAGCTGGATCGTCCTTCAGCCATGGCGCTCGATGCTGCCGATCCTCCTGACCCTCCCCCACTGAATGGACTCAGCGTTCTTGGGGTTTTCCCCCTCCTCCCGCCGCGTAGAGTTGCGCCTTCCCCGCCGCGCAATCCCTCGCTCGACAAGCGTGCACCCCCTCCGCAACAGTTTCTTTTTGAGCCAACGTCCCCACCTTGCTCTTCTCATGCTGCTGAGGCGATCGACCTCAACCTGTTGCACAGCGAAGGCACTTCTGGCGAGGCACCAGAAGTTGCTGAGTCTGTCGCCACCGCTCCCGCCAAGAGGAAGGACTGCGGACCATGGACTCAGCGTCGGCTTCCTTGGGCGCCACCGCCGAAGAAGCCGGCTGCACCGCCTACTCCTCCGCCTGTTGCTCCTACTCCGCCCCAGAATCCCGCTTCTCATGTCGACGCGGAGTATGAGGTCGTGAATCGTCGCTTCGTGGACGACTGGTCACGACGCTTCCCGTGGCTCCGACTTACTCGTATGAAGAACGGCCGACCTGCCCTCAAATGTGCCCTGTGTCTCCAGTACGGTGATGCTTTCTCCAACACTTCATATGGCAGGAAAGGAGAGGGTGCGCGCGATCTCCAGGTGGGCAGCATCCGAATCCACATTGGGACACGTGCTCACAAGGCGGCTGTCAAGGCGCAGCAAGAACGGGAGAAAGAGACGGATCAGCAGAAGACGCTAGACCGATGGGCGGTGACAGATGCATCGACGAAACATCTCATCCGGTGCTTCCATATCGCCCTTTTTGTCTGTAAGGCCGACGCGCCCATCACGATGTACGTGGCGCTTTGCTACTTCCTCGTGTCCGAGGGCTTACCCGATCTCCCGCAGGGTCGGGCGTATGGGACGTACTACACGGAGTGAGTTTTGATATCCGAATCCCTCTTCTCCCGTCAATGCATTGCATGTCGCCGCAGACATCGAACGTTGCCGTAATTTCCTTGTATGTGTCCACTTGCTCTCCAACTTTCTTACCAGTAGCCTATCCATTCCCATCTCCCCCTACCAGTTATGGCTTCAAGCAAGGGACCAAGGCGATTTCCGAGTACCTGAAGGACGAGCAGCTCCACCACATCCTGAGCTCCCCGTTTGTCGGCATCGCCATCGATGAAAGCACGGACCGCGTGCACGGGAAGCATCTAATTCTGTATGCTACGTTCTTTCGTGGCAACTCGGTAGTCACAGAGTTTGTCACTCTGCTAACTGTCGAGCGGACCGATGCGGCGTCTCTGACGGCGGTTCTTCTACAGTACCTGCAGTACATCGGTCTCGACCTCCAGAAGATCGTCGGGATGGCTACCGATGGAGCATCGGTAATGACCGGTGTGCAACAGGGAGTGGTAACCCGCCTAAAGAGGCGGATTGAGCACCTGATGGCTGTTCACTGCATCGCCCATAGGTGGGGTGTTTTACTCGCTACCCTCATGTTTTCAGTAGAACGCTCCAAATCATTGCATCTGTTCTAGTGTTGTACTCGTTGACCGTATGCTTTTCCTCTGCTTGTCGGACTCATTGCTTTTTTGTGTTTAATCCACTCCTCCCGCCAGAGAGGCACTTGCGGCGAAGGATGCTGCCGCTGCTGTGGCCGAGCTACAGATCATCGACATGCTCATCCGTGCTTTCGCCGAGCTCGTCGGTCGCTCCAACAATCAGCACCTCAGCTTCATAAACTTCCAGCTGGTGTTTTGCAACACCAATCTAGAGATGCAAGGGATCCACGCCGTACGTTGGTTGTCGCGCGGAGAGGCGGTGATCCGCTTCGTCGAAGTGCTGCCGGCGGCCATCGTCTTGCTGCGTGATCACCCCAGCGGTCTTTTCGAGATTGTGACGTCGTTCAAGGTGCAGTTCATGCTGCACTACCTCGCCGACATACTGGAGGAGCTGAATCACCTTAACACCCGCTTCCAGCAGCGCCAGGTATGACACTCCTCTCATCGTTGAATGTCGTCAGTACCATGTGCTTGCATCTAGGCACTCAGTCATACTTTGCACGTTTATTTTGCATGTCGTTCATGGTGCCCTGTTTGCTTTGAAATTATCTCTGTGTTTTCGTTGCAGGTGGATCTCACAATCGTGGCCTCAGTGGTGGACAACACGTGCAACCGCATCACCGACCGCTACATCAAGTGCGGCGGTGGTCTCTTCTTCGGGAACGGCAGCGAGAGGCTTGGGAAATTCCTGGAGCGTCACGGGAGGCCCGACCAGCGCCGCGTGCGCGTTCAAGGCGTTGACTCGGAGGGGAATGCTCAGGCGTTCGAGTATGTGCTGCATGAGCGGATGGTGGAGGGGCACAACACCAAGAGCGACCTAGACTCCTGCGCCCAAGTCTGCCGGAAGCATGCAATCGATGTCGTCACCAACGTCCGTGCCCGCCTGAAGGACCTGGCTAACATGGAAGGATGCAAGCTCTTCAAAGCCAAGACCTACCCACGAGACGACGAGTTGCGCCTAGCGAGATGCAAGCAGTGGCTGAAGCAGTCCCACAACCTCTTCGATGGAAAGCTCCCAGGTGAGACAGATTTGTTCTCGATGATGCTGCCTGTCATCGATGCTTGCGTGTCCGTTCTTAGGCTGCAGTCCCCGCAATCCATTTGCAGCAACATTCGTTGCACATCTCCCCTCAAAGGCTTACTGTTTCCTATCCTTTGAATCCCAACCCCACCATCCTGTAGGCTTCGACTACAACAAGGCCGTCACGGAGCTGTGGGTGTTTACTGCTACCATGGTGTCGCAGTACAAAGATGACGAGTTTCAACAGGGGCTCACCTTGACTCTGGACAACAATGAGTGGCAGCGGAGCTACCCCAACATCCTCAAGCTGTGGCAGGCACTGGCGGTGCTCCCTCTCAGCACAGTGGAGTGCGAACGTGGTTTCTCGAAGCAAAATCTGATCAAGTCATGGAGTCGTGGGTGCCTTGGCGATGACAGCCTGGGCGACTTGATGCGGTGCTCGCTCCTGTGCTACCAGATTGACTGGTTTGATGTGGTAGCTGTTTTCCGAGGTGAGAAGCGGCGGCGGCCTCTGCGCGACTTGTGTTCTGCCAACCCAACTCCAGCTGCGGCTTCTGCAGATGCAGGCACCATAAGGACTGACCCTGACCCTGACCCAGTTCCACTAGAGGATCCTAGTGTGCTGTAGGTCGTGTGGTTGTGATTTTCCTTGCCTACGTTCCTAGTTCATGCTAATTATTTCCATATGTTAATTATTGACATGCAGTGTAGCTAGGAATATAGTGCATTTCATAACGTGAAACTGGGTTCTGCTTTTTTTACCCTGAGCACCCAGAGTGCCGAATGTTCTACCCTGCTGAATCAGACTTGAGAAAAATTGTACTCTGACCGACAGGGTAATTTTTTTTTGGCACTCTGATTCCTAAGAGTGGCCTAAAACCAATTTTGAGGCCTGCTTGCCGCCCTGACGTGGCGGCTCCGCCGTTCCACCTCCCCGTCGCGCCCCTCCTGGGCCCTGCCGTGCCTCCTACCCACGTCGCGCCCCTCCTGGGCCCTGCCGTGCCTCCTAGCCCAGTCGCGCCCCTCCTGGGCCTTGCCGTGCCTCCTAGCCCAGTCGCGCCCCTCCTGGGCCCCGTCCCGCCTGCTCCTCCCTCCAGTAAGCGCCGCGCCTATGGCGCCGCGCTGAAGTCCTGCAGCCCCACCACAGCAGCCCCACCACCTCTCCCTCCCCTGCATCTCCTCCTGCTCCTGCCGTAGCTGCTGTCTTCGGCTCGGTCGTCGCCAGCCCGTGCCACACCGCCGAGAGCCCTCAGCCGCCGCAGTCGCCGCCTGTCCTCATCGACACAGCCGCCTTGAGCACGAGCTCCGCCGCTGTCGTCATTGAGGCC